GCGAATATACAGGGAATATATGTTGTAAGCTGCTATGCTCGTCCAAGCGCGTCAGTAAATGAATTCGAAGACTTTCTCCTTGAGCTGTCTCTAGAGACGAGAAGCAAATCTCCGATAATAATAGCGGGAGACTTTAATGCATGGTCTACTTCTTGGGGTAGCAGACGCACGAATCATCGTGGACGTCTTATACTAGAATTCTTGAGCCAAACGAACCTTACAATAATAAACAGTGGCACGCAAAATACCTATCAAAAGGGCAATAAAGGTTCCGTAATAGACCTAATGTTTGCTAACGACGCGCTTAGCAGGCACATTAAGTGGGTGGTGTCAGACATTTACACAAATAGTGACCACATGGCCATAATTGCTGAAGTTTTGTTCCCAAGAGAAAGGGAACCCCTCAGTAGAAACACCTCTCGAAAACGAGGTTGGCGACAAAAGGAGTTCGATCCTGACGTTTTCGAAAGCGTCTGGAGGGCAGCAAAGGCACCAGGCGACGACGCCGCCCACTTGGTATCCGCTGTGCAAAAGGAACTAGTTGCAGCATGCGACGCAACTATGCGCAGGACGAGATACAACAACAAGCGAAAACCAGTATACTGGTGGAACGAAGAAATCGCCACGCTGAGGAAGCTCTGTCACTCAGCTAGACGTCGCTTACAGCGCAACCAGGGAGGCGAGAATGAAAATCGCCTCAGAGAGGCATTTAAACACAAAAAAAAACTCCTGAAGTCAGCAATCACGCGTAGCAAAAAAGGCTGTTTCGAAAAGCTCTGTGAAGAAGCAAACATAGACCCCTGGGGAACCGCGTACAAAGTATGTATGTCAAAATTTAAAAATATGTCGCAGCAACCTAAGAACGCATCATTTATGAGGAAAATCGTCGACGCATTATTTCCAACACACGAGACCACTTCCTATACTATGCGAAACGAGGTTACAGAGCCCCCTCTATTAGTCACAGAAGAAGAAATATTGGCTATCGCGAAAAAAAATTAAAAACTCCAAAGCGCCTGGAATAGACGGTATACCAAATAGAGCCCTAAAAGAAGCCATGACCCTGAGACCCAGTTTGTTCGCTAAAATGTACAATGCGTGTATATTGGAAGGCGTGTTTCCCGACCCGTGGAAGGTGCAGCATTTGGTTCTACTTCCAAAACCTAAAAAGCCACCGGACGAACCTTCATCTTATCGACCATTGTGCATGCTCGACACGATTGGTAAAGTGTACGAAAGCATTGTAAGAAACCGCTTGGAGTTAGCAATCCAAAAAGCCGGCGGATTATCAGAAAGACAATACGGCTTTATAAAAAAGAGGTCCGCTATTGACGCACTAAGAGAGGTCGTTGATACTGCGAAATGTGCAGTAAGTGGCAAAAGATGGAAAGGTGGCACAAAAAAGTATTGCGCGCTAGTTACACTGGACGTGAAGAATGCGTTCAACTCCGCAAAGTGGGCAAATATAATCAAAGCTCTATACGAAATACGCGCTCCCCAATATCTTGTAAATATTATAATGAGCTATCTTAAAAATCGCATATTGTTATTCGACTCTGACGAGGGCACCCAGAGCTACGCTATCTCGAGTGGAGTACCGCAAGGCTCGGTCTTAGGTCCTCTACTATGGAACTTGATGTACGACGGGGTACTAAGAATACATCAACCAAAAAGCGTGAAAACAATAGCGTATGCGGATGATCTCATAGTGGTAGCAGTGGCTAAACACCTAGATGACCTCAGGCTCAAATGCAACGATTGCATAAACGGTCTGCGCCAATGGTTTGCTACCATGAGCTTAGAGCTGGCTGAGCAGAAAACGGAAGTCTTGCTCATAAGCACAAGGAAGGTGGAAGAAAGGTTATCACTCACCATAGGGGGGTGCGAGATTACTTCACAGCCGCAGCTGAAGTATCTGGGAGTAATACTAGACTCCAAATTAAAATTTAAAGAACACCTGGTGTATACTTCCGGCAAAGCAAACAAAATGTATAATGCGCTATCTAGAATGATGGCCAATAGAGGCTGCGTGCGCTCCAGCCGGCGGTTTTTAATATCAAAAGCAATGAGTTCAGTAATATTGTATGCAGCACCAATATGGATACAAGCGCTAGACATAAAATCATATGCTAGACAAATAAGCGCAGTACATAGGCTTTCTGCAATCCGAGTAATAAGTGCTTTCCGAACGATATCAAGTGATGCTGCTGAAGTACTAGCCAGCATGCCGCCTATTGACATCCAGGGGGACGAATTCGCGCGACTGTACCAGCTGTCAGCGTTGTCTTCAGGAGTAAAAAAAGAGGAGAGAACCAAGAGCCTAACAATGTGGCAGCAACGGTGGCAAACCTCATCTAAAGGACGATGGACTCATAGACTGATTCCGGACATTCATTCGTGGATAGACAGACGACATGGGGACCTGAATTTCCACCTTACCCAAATACTGAGTGGGCACGGATGCTTTAGGAAGTATCTATTCCAAATAAATCATGATGTTAGCCCGTATTGTCCGACGTGTACAGAGTGCATAGAAGACTCTGAACACGTATTTTTTCAGTGCCCCCGCTTTTTAAATATTAGGGAAAAGTTAAAATCTACTCTCGGCGGTAGTGTAACGGTGGAAACTCTGACAACACATATGTGTCAGTGTTCTGAAAAATGGAAAGCTGTCAGCGAAGCGGCAGCTCTAATTATGACAAAACTGAGATACTTGCAACAGATTAGGAGTCAGTCAGTCCGTGCCGTAGAGGAGACTTAAATGTCCTTTTCTCTCCCATGAAGTAATACTTAATCCGGTGGTTCCGTGGGAGAGATATAAGATGGGAGTAGGTTAGGTTTAGCGGATTAAAGTTCCGCACTTCGGCTTTTGATGCTTCCCCCTACTATAAAAAAAAAAAAAAAAAAAAAAAAAAAAAAAAAACAGGTGGCGCACAATGTGTAACACGCACACATGCATAACTCTGTATGTACTCAAACGCGTGCCGGCGCAATTTCCTTAGGTGTCGTGTAAGCCTAAGTGGTTCGTTAAAGCGAAAAATTACACAATTACTATGCTGTTATTAGAGTCGTGTCAGCCCTTATGGAAAGTATGGATGTTGTGAAATGTTGCATGAGCCATGCACAAGCAACTTATATGCGTGATTTTCGAAAACCAATTTGGAAACAAAAACAAAACCGAATAAGGTGACAGCAGCTGCATACATTGCATAGCCGGTTGCAAGTAACAATTAACAACAAAAGAAACGAAAAAGCACAATGTCCAACAAAGGCCATGAATAAATACAGCTGCGTATGTATGCAAAAACACCCAAGAGAAAATGTCGGTGAAACTGCGAAGCGCACAGCTCATCAGCAACACTTGCGTTGGCAACAATAGCGCCACAAGCCAGCAGACAGGGAAATGTCAACTAAATACCACAAAAATAGCAACTGTTGTGGCATGCATTACGCATCCTCTGCCTCAAAGCCACAGCTATTCATACGTGAGGAGGTGCATTTGCAACAGGATGTGTTGCCAGCAAACTTTTGACAGCAATTGTAGTTCACAAACAGTACAGAAGTTTTTGCATCAATATGCAGTTGGTGTCATGGCATTTACTAGTCCAAAGCATAACAAACAGGCTCTTAGATGAGACACACGCCTCCCACCAACGCCTGTTACAGGCGCATAGTCTTCGCTCATATGCTAATGCGCTCGTAAAGTAAAGTAAGTTATCGACAAGTTTGCAAGCGTCAAGCAATTTTTGCGTTTTGCTCTACGACTTTGCCTTTCACACATTACACACACGCCCGCATTCGCACGTGTTTGGCCAGCAAGCAAGCTTCGCACTATCAACTATACTATCCCAACCGGGTCTAACTTACGGTTGTGTTTATGTGTTTGAGTGCTATCAGTTGCTAACACGGGATTACATGCACGCAACGAGCATGTAATTTTTGTGCACACACATACGTACACACATTCATACTCATATGCATGCCACCAATTTACTTGCGTACGCATGTCCAAATAACGCTGACTGCGCTTGTGCGTTGCATATGACAAACTTTTGCAATTATTACTTCTCTAATTATTAATTAAAGTTTGTTTGCTGCTTCTTTCTCTGTTCATTTTTGTTGTCTGCTGTCAGATGATGTATTATTTTCCTGCAATTGCTCGTAATGTCACAAAAGTGTTTAAATTACGAATCAGAGCGCAAAATGATTTCAAAACAAAATGTTTATTAATAATAAAGATCTTCACCAAGTCAATACTCTTTAATTTTAACTTTTAACTCGTCTCAAGCTGACCTCCTGCAATTTTTTGCTACTTTAATTCATTTTTATCAAAAACGTTTTTAACAAATTTGTTAGTGTTTTACGCTGCGCTTCAAACCTCAACGCACTTTGTGATGTTACATCGACTTCTTCTCCACGCTTCGAAGTTCGAAAGCAGCGATGAGTCACAGGGTGTTTAAAGCAGATTTCGAAAAAAAAGTCTTCTTTACGAAGATCCCTAACCTTTTAGAATTTGTTTCTTTTGCAATCAAAAATGTTTTTAAAAGCTGTGACCCCAACATGCCGAAAATTTAAAGACCTTATTTTTATACCTAGAAAAAAAATCATATAAAGTTAAGCAAATTAATTTTGTGGACACTGTGGTGTATCAACACTAAACATTTCCAAGCTTCACTTTTTAGTACAGTCGGAACTTTGATAAAATCTTTGTCTTTCATGAATCGGTGTAAAATCCTAATCATGACTGGAAAATAGTTTTATTATCAATGAGCTGATAATTAATCAATTGTCATAAAAACAGGAGCACATTTAATATTTTTATGAATAAATTCGTAATCTGAATAATTGAAACTATCAAAATTTGCTAATACTTGTATATATAGGGCAATCAAAAATATTTTATTGCTGTGTTATTGTTTGAAAGCTTGGAAGTGCATTTTATAACACATATGAAAAACGAAGCGCTTTTTTGTAAAACAACCAGATTTGCGATTAAATACTTGTAAATCGTAATTTTGGCGCTTAAAGTCGCTCATACGCCGCGTATCCTCTGCCATCAGACATTGCCTGCAATAAAACAAGCAGTAAAGAACTATATTATAATTAAAATAACAGTGAAATTGCAAACTTTTGATATAACGTAGCAAAAGGAAGCACACGAACAAGTGCTGGCATTGAGGATACAATTTCAAGCAGTTGGCGAACAACGTGTGGAAGACTCTCACAGAAAAATATGAAAAAATGCCAGCAAAACCGAACAAGGATAACAGTTAACTTGCGAAGGTATATTTTATTGTTGTTTCTGGTTATTGGGTGAGAAAATTAAAATAATAACAATCGCAAAATTAGAGGCACAAGTAAGCCGAGCTGCTGAATATATATATATATATGTAACTTGCAGTAATGCATCAACTCATTACAATTTCCTATACCTATAAATATTAAAAGTTATCTCTTGTGCACCCACACACTGTATGTTTTGCATTGAGAAATGAGAAAAGCAAGAAAGTGTAACTACTGGTAGCACGCTATACTCTTGATTATACAATAGTTACACCAAAAGGCATCTTAAGCGGAAGCCAAAAGTCATCTTAGAGGCCGACAAAAACTACTTTTTCACGATTTACTTTTAGGAAAATTAAAATGGTGCACATAAAATTGATATATATATAGGTATATATATATGTATAACAGCGCATTGTTAAAAAAACACATCTTATGATGATAATATAAACGATGAGATAATTTGATAATGCAAATGCAAATGACTTATAGGAGTAAACGAATTTTGTATTCTCTCAGACAAGCAATGTTAAACATGTAAAATGTTGGTAACAAGCAGTTTATGCTACCTCCATACATTCAAATCTTGCATAAGACTAACATATGTACATTTATTCAGCACCATAAAGAAAAATTTCACTGTCCATAGTGTGACTGCGTTCACCTTTTTTTACTACCACCAACCCCTTCTGTGCGCCTGGTTAACGGCGAGAGAAATTTCGTGTTGAGCTTCCTTGTTTTTTGTTTATGCTTTGAGCATTTTTAGATGTGTGTTTGAGCTCTTCTAGGCAATGATTTTATTAGCCATAGCTTCTGGCATATTACCATGACAAAAATCCCTTAGCCTTTGCAAGGGTGAAATATGTTATGCGCTAGTGTTCGCAAAGCCAAGCATGTGTTTTCAGCTGTAGACAAAGCCTATTGCGTTAATTCTTTTCCATACTGAATACCTGTCAAAAATTCTTTGTAAAAAAATGCCAGGCGTTTTTTAAACTACATAACTACATATGTATATGGTGATTACGAGTAAAAAAGGTACATTGGTATGCGAAGAGAAACTTGAATGTAATTAATCACTTGTTTTTCACTTGCAACACCTGAGCTGCATTCAATTAGCAAAATTAGATTTTTGAAGAAAATCAGAAGATTCGCTTAGGAAATGGTATACAATTGAAGCATCATGTGCCAGTGGCCAAAGTAGTCGTGCCTCAGACTGTATATGATCAGTTGCTAGCGGCCCAGAACAGAACAGCAAATCTATACAGTTTAGTCAAATAAACATCAAAGGACATTGCGTAAATAGTTTAACCGCTCAAAACCGTACGAAACTGAATGAAAGTTTTTAATTTGGTTAATTGAAACCTCAGGCTGCTAACGACGGTTTCGCGACGTGCAACGAGAGCAGCGTAAACAAACACTTATCAAGTAATTAGTGTAAGACATTTAAGTAAACAGCTCCAAAGTCTAGTAGACAACGTGTTGTGCGAAGCGTTTCAATATTTACTTGTCGATGCATGCCCCCCAACATATGCGTGCGCCACTGAAGCGGAAGAAAAGTTATTCAACTTGCCACAGCGGCGACATTAGCGACGTCTGCCGATCATATTTACATACATAGTTTTTTGCGGAAGGTCGCCGACCAAACTTGTTAAGTGAAGCGTAACTACATAACGGTAATGAAAGGTTGGAAATCAACTCGAGAGTAGATGAGTTGATGGGCTTGGGCATGAAAACTTTGACTTCACTTCACGGTAAACTTGCCAGTTAAGTGACTCACTTTCGATGGCAGGCATCCCAGACGGCACACCTTCGAAGAGAACACATATTGTTGAGAGGAGTTGCAGTTTACTGTTAATATTGCATGTAAACTAACCTTCATCAAAGTCGGGTGAACAAAACGATCTAACATGACGTATACAATGGCGCTAAGGGCACCTCACTTATTGGTACACAAACACATAAACACATATATACATGCATACAAACATATACGCGAGATCTTTATGTTAAAGTTATGTAACTGTTTAATGCCCACATACTAAACTCTTTAATATGCACTTCATGTGGTAAGCTGTTGTTGCTGTAACACTTTGTGATTTTGTATCTTAATAAACCTCCATCAAATGGGTCGCGAAGACAGAGAAATGAAAGGCATAAAATATTTTGGAACCATACCTGCCGCAATTATCTTTAATTATATGTACAGGTTGGTTGGTCTCACCAATAAATAGCACTACTAGCTCCAAATTCTCGTTTTCATGTTGGTACATATCGGGAGAACGCATGCAATGTTACAAGTCATTCTGTCAATTAGTTATTTGTTTACAAGTTATTTGAAGTTGACGTGTCAGAGTATTTTTTTTTTAAATGGAAAAAATTGAATATCGCGCAGTGATTAGATTTTTTGTTTCGAAATGTTTTAAAACAAAGGGAATTTTAGAACAATTGTTAGAAATTTATATTATTGTAGTTAAAGGAGTTTATATTGAGTAAAAAAAATATATTTCATAGCAAAAACAGTATTTTTCATTTCGAACGCAGAAATTTTTCAACCAACCTGTATATAGCTGTTGTAATCATAACGGTTTTGTTGTAGGGTTTATAAGTGTGCGGGGTGTGCACAATTGCGGTCGGTTTGACAACTCGGTTCGATGTTTGTGATTCGCATTTAATTACAATATCATAAACATGAGATTAAAAGGGTTGGAGTTTCGTAGCTATTTGATATTTATTGCTACTTTGTGTGGAACGGCACGATATTTTTATGCCACATCCCGACGGCCGATATACGAGTTAACATACATATAGTTAAACGCCTACGAAAATGAAAAGAATTCTCCGGACAAACAGTGCCTTCATTCAATACGAATCACGAATTACGTTAAACATGCGACGTCACCATGAACCTGGTGAAAGGCTATTTGGAGAAAGCCCTAGCAAAAAGGAAACAATTAGCATGATTCCGTAAAGCATACGAGTGATATTTTCAAAGAATTCCCTATCGGCTATGGACGCACAATAGACCCGATATGATGGCAACTTGCTCACCGAATTTAGCAAAAGCTTATTTTATTTGGGAAGTATATTAGGCTGATGGTGACTAAATTTCTAAGCTATTTCTTTCTTTATTCAATTGTTTTGCCAAGTTCACTTTTACTTAATTAAATAGCCATTTGAAAAAAGAAATGCATTGTTTACGAGGCAAATACTGAACTTAAATATTATATAATAGAAAATAATTACATTAATTTGGCCTCCATTAACCTTGGCCATATACAACGTTTCAAACACACGCCTTGTCATCACACTTTACGCCGTCGCTGCTGGTTGCTTACATCCTCGCTGAAATGTCAGTGCAGTTATCCAACAAAACGAAGAGTGCTTTAAAAAAATGCAGAACACTGCTTCTGTTAAATTTTTCAATGTTGCACCCTCGGTCCATCTGAAAGTAATAATGTTTGGTGCTGTCGTTGTTTACAGGTTTTATACCTAAAATGAGGTAAAATAAAACCTGCGTCAAACCTTTCGGAAAATTTTATTTGCCATCGTTCGTAGTAGGTAACCATTTTGCGTGATATAGCAAACAATATAACAATGTATCCACGACATTTTAACAGCTTGTCAACGACAGCTTGCGGAAGACCTTCAAAGCTGCCAACTAAAGAATTCAATGAAATGTCAGCGCTAATTGTCCTCTGGGTGAACAGTTAAGAAAGTTGTTGGTGCCTATTAGACCTAAACACACACACACACATACACACACAGTTAAATACAGACAATGCGCAGACAGAACCTTCAAAATATATATAAACATGGGAAATCTACCCGCGTCTGCAGCAAACTTTGTTTTGAGCACACATAGGTATATTTTAAACCAATTGCTTCCAATACGGCAAATGTGACTCTTTGATACCTTATTTTCATTGTAAGAGGCCAGACTATGAGTCACAGCAGTACTACCACTTACATACACATATACATACACGTTACTTTCGTCACGTGCTCGAAAGATTGACAAAATATCCATGGCATTTGCGGCTCACACAACGGCATTCGCTTGTATGACTAACAAATTGGCGCAGCCAAGATTCATTACCCGTACTACAATGTGAGACGCAATCGCCCGCTTACCAGCCTATATATGCGTACAACATAAGTATGTTTGTTTACCTCCCATTCTCCAAGTAAATGACCTCGGCAATCACTGATCCTTGGCACTGAGCTCCTTTGCCGCTGCTTGTTTGCACTTGGCAGGCGTCGTTGCTCAGCTCATGCTTTGCATATTTCACTACGCAGCTAACTAACGTCGGTTTTATACGCTTATTATTGGCCCCGCAGCGATGCTCGGAGCTCGAATATATTCCGAAACGTCTGCTTTATGCGTTGGAGCGGTAATTTAATGACGCACGATGGTTACAAAAGATGAAGAAGGCGGCAGTATGTTAGACGAATTTAGGCTGGATTTCGTTCGAGTACTTTCATCTTACCGAAGTGTCCATATGAATTACTTTGAAAGCATTCATTTTATTGTTGTCTCTACATTTAGTACGCGCATACTTTAAGAGCAAACGAACGTGCTCGAGTGTTTCTGAACGTCTGCGAAAGGCAAGGTGCTGACATTCAAATAAAATTAAAAATTAAATTGAAGCATTTTTCTTTAATAGAAGAATTTCAGAGCAAATTTAAAAGTGATGTATGCAAATACAGCTCTAAATAAGAGGCCCTCGGGGAAGGCTCTGTAAATAATTAATAGTTATTGCGTTGCCAAATTAAACGG